GATCTACCTCTCATGGACCAAATAGATGCCATCCAGATCTTGTCACATCCAGGCACATCCAAAACAGCTCAAGAGAAGCAAGTTCCAGATGCTCCATCTCCTGTCACACACACAGCTGCTTCTACTGGACCTGTTCCTTCTGACCAGATGTTCCCAGATGGCTTGCTCCATAGACCCTGGACGGCAGGAAACAGCCAACCGGACATCCTCCATACCCATTCTTCTACGTTCCCCCTAAAGACATTTCATCCCCAATGCCAGCAGGAAGTAGCCAAATATCACGATGACCCTATTCCTGCTTCACTGTCACCTTTTTCTAATTTTTCTCTTTTAATTAAACCAAAATGGGGGAATGTTAGTATTCTATCGAAACCCCACCTCCACAGTTACCTGGCAACACCCAGGTATGCTCCTCCCCACAGTTACCTGGCAACAGCCAGGTAGGCCTGCCCACTATAAAAGGGGCTGCTTGCCCCCTCCTCTCTCTCTTACTCTGTTACTCTCTTATTCCCAGCTCCCCTTTGTCCCCTGCCCCCCCCCTTCCCTTCCCCCTCTCTCTATGTGGTCACGGCCAGCCTCTACTCCCTCTACCTCTCTGCTCTCTCTCTTTCTCTTTCTCTCTCTCTCTCTCTCTCTCTCTCTCTCTTTCTCTCTCTGCCTCTACTACCCTCCTGGCTCCCCTCCCCGTGCCCTGAATAAACTCTATTGTATGCCAATAAATAAATAAATAAATAAATAAATAGAGATCAACCGCTCATGAGATTGTTGCAAAGATTTGGAGATTACAGAATGAGTACAGTGGATGATCAGAAGAATATGGCTGTATTGACTGGGCTTTTATATATGGTCATTTCTGTTCTTACAAAACACCTAAAATTAGAAAATTTGTAAAGCAAAATTGTTTATTTAACTCATAGTTATGGAGACTGAAAGACCAGGGTCAAGTGGTATCATTCATTCAGCAACTGCAGGACATAGCAGGTGGTGGAATGATTTGAGCGTTCAGGAGAGATCACAGGGCCAGACCACAAGCCAGAGAGCTTTGAGGATTTGCTCCATATGAAGAAATACTAACCCCAGAAGGGAAGATATAATGTAAAGGACAAAAGATTTGTTTGGACTCATGGTTGAAAGGGATACAGTGCTCCTGGGGGTAGAGGCAAGAGTTTAGAATCAAAGTCTCCAGGTTGCACAGATGGAACTATGTCATTTATTTTTGTATCGAGAAAATCAAGAAATCCAAAATTACTTTTCATTTTACTTCAAGTTTACTGATTCATTTACCTTCATTCAGTTGTCTCACTGAAATCGAGGCTATGTAGGGCAGAGTGTTGAGGGTGATTTAAAGCTCGCTGGCTTCCGGTTTGGCTCTTATCTCCCCCTTAGCACATGTGTCTGCTGTACCGAACTCTCCACTCTCCATGTGATGAGCGAATTTGACTTCTGCTTGTTGTTGTGGGAAGGTAGGCCCCATTTCCAACAAAGTTTATTTAATAGAATGTGCTCTTGGCCTCAAACACTGTGCTCCCAAGAATCTACTCAGAACACGTGGGATTGTGTCAAGACTTGAGCTGAAGAAGGTTCTGATGTCATTCTTTCAGCAATAACCTTTCATGTAAGGAACAGACTTGGCCTACTTATGATAAAAGGGGGTCTACATGGTGAATAATACTGCAAAGCCACCTCCCAGCCCTAGAAAACTGTACAGTGAATAGGTTATATCAACATGTCCCTAAGCAAAAGGTTCATTATAAATAGAAAATAGGCCAGGCACCCCAGGAAGGTGAGCATTTATGAGCAAACAGGCTGCCTGTTTGGAGAAAGGTCTCTGTGAAACTTCCACAGGCCTTGACTCTACATCTCACCTAGTAACAGGGCTTTTCCAGCCTTCCTCTCGCTCTCCAAAAGCCCTCATCCATCTCCTCCAAGCACAGATCCCTCTGTGTGACCACCAGCTTTTAGATAATAATAAATCCACCTTGTCAGGGATTATGGGCACTTGCCAACTGCATGCTCAGTTCTGTGTGTAACTCTTTCCCAATATTTTACTAGGATAGGAGATCAATAGAAAGAAGCGAAGGCTTCCTAGTAATGCCACCAAACAGTGCTGTACTTGATGAAGCTTGGACTGTGACGAAAGCCAGTACAAAACGCCTCCACACAAATCATTTGTTCATTCCGCCCTGGTCTTCACTGCTTAAGCTGCCAACAGGTGTCTGGTATGAATAGGAGCATTGGTGGGCTGTGAAATGGAGTATAGTTATAGTCTTTGGCAAACTGGAATTCTTGACAATGTCTGCAAAAAGGTGAGGAACTAAAGGCACTTAAAACTGGAGAGATAGCTGATTCTGCATGTGGGACACTTTTCCATGACCTCAGTACTGGTAGAAACATTTGCCCTTTATCATTGGAAATACACAAATGTCCCTTGTCATACACCATGTTACCCTGAGTGACACATGCTCAGGATGCTGTCACTGTGTCCCTGACAGTTCCCCTAACCATCTTCCCACTGACACTTTCTAAAAAAGAGGGTAAATACAAGGGCTAGACACAAAGCTGTGTAATAGGGTACCTTTCTGACAAGTATAAGGCTCTCGGTTTGACCCCAGCATAATAATTAATTAGCTAATTAACTAATTAAAATATACTTGAAAACTTCTAGTGCACATTTTTCTACCTTTTTTTTAAAGGAAAAAACCCACAAATTTTGTTATATTAGAGTTTTACTGACTTCACTACTTTTCTTGCCAGCAGAGCAGAGGCTGTGTATAGATGTCAGACTGAAGCTGGTGGGGGAAACACCAATTCCTTCGGCAGCCCCTTCCCCACTGCCCCTTGCTCTCTCCAAAGAGTCCAAGAAGCCAGATTCAAAATGACAAATTGGAAACTTGAAATCACAAAAATCATCGCTGAAAACTTCACCAACAACACTTTTCAAACTGAACAAAAGCGAGCGTGACCAAAAGAAGAAAGAACAGGAAGACACACACAATCGGGCATCTAGACCAAAGTGAAGGCTCATTGTGTTAAAAAAAAAAAAAGATTTTTTCAAAGTTAATTTTATCTATCAGGTCCACACAAGTACTCATGATTCTTCAAGTCATTTGTTTGATGTGTGATAGTGGCACCCTGAACCCAATGTCCTACTCCAAAAAGGAAAGGCTTTATGTAATTATTATAATAATGGGAAATTTCTAGACATATTTTTAATTATTTTATTTTTCAATGATATCTTTATAGATAAGCAGAATTCTGGAAGTCTGTAAATCCTGTGAACTGGTGAGTGGGGTACAGAATAAAAAATGTACTGTTAGCTCAGGGCAAACACGGGGAGTGGACGAATAGGGGATTTCTAGAGTCCTGCATGCCCTATTTTTGTACTGTGAATCCTTTTTGAACAAAATCACATTTCTGTTTACTGAATGTCAGCTTGTAACTAAAGTGAAATCTGGACTACATGGCTTTAGACAATGTAGAAGGTTAACAGTGCTGGTCCTGCTTCCTTATCGTGGTATAGTTGGGACTGAATTGCTAACAGTTAGTATGGGTGGAGAAAGAGTCAGATAGAAGCTCCAAGCTAATGCTGTCATGACTGAGACCAAATCTAAAGGCTTAGTTTTACTGCCTCAAAGACATGTAACAGCCACCATAGGAACAACACAAGAGTTCATATGAAGCATCTCATGTTGTTATGTCAGTGGGTGAAGAGACACCTTGCTGTCTGAGGTGAGGTGAGGATAAGACATAGTTGATACATTGCAGCCTGCTTTGTTTCTCAGAGCCTTCAATCTCCTCCCTGGCCTCCTTGACCAGCTGAGCCCAGACTGAAATGCCCATACTCTCTGACCAAGTGATGTTCCCAGACAGTGGGGACATAGGAACAGGAATGGCCTCATAAATTGTACTTATTAGGCTTATCTTTTTATTGATATGAATTAAGACAGTCTGCCCTCTGGGTGTCCTGTAGATGCTGGCTTTGGAGCACAGCAACTTGCGTTTGAGGTCTCAGAGATCTACCAACTGTCATAGCATTGGGATGAGGGTGAATGATTTCTGGCTCCTGTGAAATGCAGACGTGGTGGTAATACAAGCCTGAGTGCAGGAACTCTGAGGCAACACATGTGTCACATACACATGTGCACTCTCCACTGGACCATGGCAATTCTGAGAAAGCTTCGCAGTGGTTTGTTTCATGCCCACTTTACCTTAAATTAGGCTACTGTAATGTTGTTATTTGTCATATTTAGTTGGTGTAAAATATAATTTAACATGATATTTTAGCACATACATATACAATGTACATCATTGATTTTAATGTAGATGCCTTTTTCAAATAACATATTTTCTAAAATGAATAGTGTAGTCTTTAATTCCTAATTCGATATCTAGGATAAAACTATATCTGCAGATTTTTAAATGAATTCCCCTCATATGCTTTAAATTTTTCCAGATACTGGTACATTTTAAGTTAATAAAATGATCAATTAAGAAAAACATGCAGGGGTCTCTTATGCAGTTAGAACTGGCAAATACTTGGGACTTTTTGTCTTTTTATTTTTTTTCTTTTTCCTGTGAAAAAACTGATTTTTGAAATGTTAAGCTCTGTGTCTTCCTGGTCTCTGTCACAGTGCCTTGCCTTTACAATTACACAGCAAGAAGCTGTGGACACTAGGCTCAGCAGACAAAGCGCTTGTCCTGTCTGTGGGGGGATTGAAGCACATCCTGCACCAATGTAAGTGCCAGGAGGGTGTGGTGACCTCACACAATTCAAAGATGCTGGGGCAAGTTGGCTGCGCTAGCCTATACACTGGCTACTCTGGCTCAAGGAAGAGACCCTCAAGGGAGCGCAGTGGAGGAAAACATTCAACACAACCTCCACACACGTGCACACATATGTGTACACATACTCACACACACCTCCACAAAAATGCACAGCACACACACACATACACACATCAAAAATACTGGAATATAGACATAATAAAAAGAATGAGGCATCTGGTGTCCCAATAAAAATTTTACTCATGGGTTTGGCAGTCTGTATTTCATATACTTCACATATGACACAAAATAGTCATGTTTTCTTTCTTCCTCCTAAGCATTTAAAATGTAAAATTTATTCTTAACACTTGGTCTGCACAGAAACAGGAAGAGTATCCTTGGTCCATGGGCTATCATTTGCCAAACATCACTGCACAAGAATAAAGACATGAAAAGAAAGCACCACCATGAAACCCATCGTTCTGTGTATGAAAAATAAGCTTTTAAAAGGCCATGGAAAGGTATATGGATACATTCAATACAGAGATTCATAAAACTTGTTTTAAAAACAAATTTAGTTTAGTACAGATTAGTATATAACCGAATTGTGTTACTCTCATACCGCATCTGAACAATTACATTTTCTTGATATGGAAAATTACTTCCTAAAACAAAGAAAAACAAGAAGCGCAAAGGGTTCAAAGCTTGCTTAAGTTATGTGGAGCATTCCATCCAGCCTGGGTTGCTATGGGGATCTGACAAAGGAAAAAAAAAACCAAGCATATCCTACTTAGGTAATAACTCCATGCCAATATTTAGTGGTAAGATTTTAAACGTTTAAGGAGTCTTGTGGATACAGCTCCCTGTTGGAGCACCTGCCCAGCATCCACTTGACCCTGCTTCAGTCCCCATAGACAAAAAGATGTTATTGAATTTTCTGTAATCTTAAGGAGACATTTGAGTGAGTGATTACTTTGGAAATTTTTGGATTTCTTGAAGATATGAATATTTTAAATAAATAAGATAAAAATTATTGAAGCTTATCAGCGGATGAATAATTTAAATGTTCTGTTTAAAGTTTAAAACACGAACATTCATATGTTAATTTATGAAATGTGTATGATTTAAAAATTACTAAATGTTACAATATTTTTCATATTTATAGTATAAGAAAAAAGATAAATATAATTTACATATAAATATATTTTTAGTAAAAATGACACAGCTAATAACTCTCCTTAAAGTACATTACCAAAGCACTATTGTACTCAGTATTTAAATACTATTATTCAGCTTTTCATTATTGTTCTTTATCTACAAGGCATTTAGAGATAAAATATCAAACATTTTTTAAAGAACATCTAATGTCAACTTATACTTAATGAATACCACATACTTCATAGCTATATTTTTTAAATTGGTCATTTTCTGAGTCCTGATTTTAAATTTATCTTTTATGTTGATTCATAATCAATTATGACATAAAAATTGACTGTTGTTTTATTTTTTTTAGACAAGGTCTCATTCTGTAGTCCTGGCTTGTCTGGAGCTGACGTAAACCAGAATAACCTTGGACTCATAGAAATCTGCCTGGCTCTTCCTCATGAGTGCTGGGATTAAAGGCTTAAAAGTCTCTGGGTGGGGTTCTGGGAGGTACCTTTTTAATTTCTGAAAAATACAATACTCGTTAGCATGCATGTCAAAAAGAGGAAAAGATAAGGAAATTGAAAACTAAAATGAAAATTTCCAGCAACAATAAATTAAAATATAATGAGAGCATGTCTGAACTTCCCTAGTGTTTCCAGAACAGTAGGATCATTTTCAAAGCTCTCACCACCAGGCAAAGAAAAAGCTGAACAATAATTTCCTATACCTTTATGCAAAGCATAATATGATTTGTTAAAGCATTTTTTTATAATATATACTCACACCTGAAGAACCTCACTAGTGAAAAATTAATAATTTCACTAAAACGTGAATTTGAAGCCTTTTCATAATTAATCGGTAGTTTTCATAAAAATATAAAAACAATTTCCTTAGGAAAAAATCCTGCCAATTGAAATATCTCCATTTTGAAAATAGAAACAAAAGACATTGCTTCTGAAAGTGTTGAAACTCAGGCCCCAGCCATATGACCAGCTATATGCCCCAGGAACATGAGCATTGAGAAACAGAGTTTTTCTCACTAATGCAGCATCAGTGAGCATTTGTCCCAAAGGCCTGTTTAGTGATGACTCTCAGTAGCCAAGTAACATCATCCAATGTCCTCTTCTTCCAAGCACATATCAGTGTTTCAGTTTATATTTAAACTCAATATCATTTAGTGGTGGCAAAATTCCCAAGCCTGCCCGGGACTGGTCTAGAGGGGGACACTTGACATGGCTCTCCACAAGCTCCAGTTCAAAGTAGGAGAGCATCAGAATCAAAAATTGCTTGATTTCTTGGACAGCAAATAGTCTTCCAGGACACATTGTAGCTCCTGATCCAAAGGGCATGTAGAAATATTTCAGCTTGTTTCCATTTCTATAGAAGGTGGTCTTTGCTTTCCCACTTTCATCAAGGTACCGATCATATTTAAAAGTCTGTAATAAAAAATACAACAAGCCAATGAGATATTTTGAAAGAAATTTGTCTCAGTCTTGACTTGGGAGACCCAAGTATAAGCTTCTACTAATAACTCCATCCTCAGCCAGTTAGCACACAACCAACTCTGAACCAGAGGAACACTGGAGAGAGCTCAGAGAGAGCTGGTAGAACTAGGAGCTCTAGGTGCCTCCTGATGCTGCCTGGGGACTCATTCCTCAGTTAGGCAAAGAAGCAAGAAGGGTTCTAAACAGAAACTAGAAGGACCGAGTCAGATACATTATCTTCCAATAGTGTGGATCTGGGAGAAGGTACTTTTTTAAAGGAAAAAATAAAGGTAGCTTTGCTATGACTAAAAACAATCTAGTAGAATCTATGACATGAAAAATATAAGGACTAAAACTCTTGCCTCTATCCAACGTGTCCAAACATGAATATTTGCTGTAATGACAGGGAAAATAGCCGGGCAGTGGTGGCATACGCCTTTAAACCCAGCACTTGGGAGGCAGAGGCAGGCGGATTTCTGAGCTTGAGGCCAGCCTGATCTACAGAGTTCCAGGACAGCCAGGACTATACAGAGAAACCCTCTCTCAAAACAAAAACAAACAAATGAAAACAACAACAACAAAAAGACAGGGAAAATAACTATGGTTCCAACAAACGAATCAAAGCTGTAATACAAATCCACTCCTTATTTAGCCCTGCATGGATATCAGTACAATACTGAACTTTGATGAGCAGAAACTTACCAAAGGATCTGGATAGATTTCAGGATCCAAGTGCATTAACTGTGGATAAAGAGCTATGATGTCATCTTTTCGAATGTTATAGGACCCATCCTCAAGGTGTAGAGTGAAATCCTCCTTAGCTGTCCGGATATTCAAGGATGCACTGGAAAGCCTCAGAGCCTCTTTGATGATGCTATCTAAATATTTTAAAATAGAAGAAGTCAGATAGGAGGGAAGAAAAGAGGGAAAGGAAATGGCATACGGAATAATTAACACATTAAAATAGTCTCAGTTTATTCATTTTTATGTTTAGGGGTGTTTTGCCTGTATGTATGCATGTGCACCATGCACATGCCTAATGTCTGCACAGGTCAGAAGAAGTTGTCAGATACTCCAGAACTGGATTTATGGATGGCTGTGAGCCTCCATGTGGGTGCTGGAAGTTAAACCTGGGTCCACTGCAAAAGCAGTGAGTGCTTTGAACTGCTGGGCCATCTTACTAGCCCGGAATTTATGCAATTAAAGGCTATATAACAACAATCTGAAATACTTCTGACAACCTATATACAAAATGAGCAAATAAAAAGCTAACAAGTGAAAGCTTCCCAAAGGTGTGTCTGTTGCCACTGTACTGTTCTTGGTGACTCAACTGAAATATATTTTCAATCTGATCATCTAAATGAGTGGTTCTCAACCTGTGGGTCTTGACCTCCTTGGGGTCAAACAAGTCTTTTCACAGGCTTTTACGGTTACAATTCATAAAAGTAGCAAAATGATAGTTCTGAAGTAGAAATGAAAATAATTTTATGGTTGGGGGTCACCACAACATGAAGTGCCACAGCATTTGGAATGTTAAGAATCGTTGATCTAAGTTAATATTTGGTCTGATATAATAGTCTTCACCATCAATGAGAACTAGAATAGCTATCCCTCATTTTACAGAACATTAATATTAGTTCTGTAGAACACTGAATAATATTGGATAAACTAGTAATCAATTTTGTGTGAATTATTGTTGATCACTGTTGAGACTAAACATACTGATAGAGAAATGTCTGTCCAGTCATTTCATGAACGTGCCATTCAGTGTTTAGGAAGTGTCTCTTTTAGTCTTACGTTATCTGAGGACATGCAATGCGGTCCTGCTTCTGGGTAGAGGCATGCAGGAGCAAGATAAATCTCAGAATAGCTGGAGACTAAGAGAGGTCCAGTCTGGCCTTCCAGCCTCTAACCTTCAGCTGCCTTGTTCCCAGGGTCCATGGCATGAGTGTGTATGCAATCATAACTCGTTAGCACGTCATTATTTACAAACGAGAAGGGGGCATCCAAGTCTCCCACATCAAGCAACACTGGACCTAGATTTCTGTCCCTATTTTTTTAACTTTTTTTTGATTCTTTATGAATTTTACATCGTACACCCACTCCCACTCATTTCCCCATCACTCCATATCTGCCTTCCACCCTTGTAACTTCCCTCCAAAAGAAAACAAAATAATAATTACTACTATTATCATAATTATTATTATCTTTCCATGGAAGCTGTGGTGTGTCATGGTCCGGCACACTCTTTTACCCAAAGAGCTTCTTTGCAGTGAGTCATTAGTCTGGTTCAAGGCCAGTATTGACAGTGTAGCAGAAGCCAGAGGCCCTGAGCCAGACTTCTGCCATATTTAATAAACTACACTGCCCTGGTACCACATGTCAGCTTCTGTCCCTTACAGAAGAAAACTTACAAAGATTGTTTTATTATAAACACGTGACACTTGGGTATTCTAGCAAATATAGAGACAAAGGGAGAAAAGCCTCACTCAGTCCCACTATCCAACCCAATCACTCTTCCTTGATGGTACCTTGCTCACATCAATTCCATGCTTCCTTTGTCTCTAGTTTAATGGTTTTGATGGACTAACTAGGAGGCAACGGACACAGAGTGGCTGAGTATCAGAAGTGCTACCACTGTTTCCTCTTCTGATCCTAGGCATCATCTCACTCTCTGGGTCTCAGTCCCTTGCTTGGTAGATACAAATGAAAAAGTCCCTAGCTATCAGATTGTTTTGGGGGTGCAAAAATACTTGTCATAATGTATAGCACATAGTATATGTCGAGCATTGTTATTAGTGACATGGTGAATGAGGGGTAGCATAGCAGCCATACCTAGTACCGGCAGGTCATTCAGTTGCACTTGATCCAAGCAAATGGCATTCCCTCCAGAGCTGAGCTCCTGGCCAGCACTCTGTAATGCTCTATTCACTTCTTCAGAAGCTGCTTTCATTGCTTCGGGACTCCTATGGAAAGAGACATATGGGGGGAAATGTCCTTATTTAGGGTAAGTAAATAAGAATTATCCATTTCTTTCAGTGAGGTGGTTATGGTATGAGGATTATGCAAGGAGAGGTCATGTTATCAGGGAATGTGCAAAGGGAGAAGGACATGGAAATGTGCAAGAATATATATGCCAAGGGGAGTCTGCCAGGGAGTATGCAAAGGGCATTGAACTGGATTCATGTCCTTGAGTTCATGAAAGGGCATTAAAGGGGCTTTATGTAAAAGTAAAGCTTTGGTCAGATCTCTATAAACTAAAGATTCTAGTATGATTCTATTATGTGATGAACATAATAAATCAGAAGGAATATGTCACCTAACAAACAATTACAAGGGATTGGTTAATTCCCAAGTAGAAACTAAAATTTACTCTTAGAATTCATACCATGGCCTCAGAACTGTGTTTCCATTTAAATTTTTATTTCTGAATGGTGAGTTAAAGGATATTCCATTTCAATGCCTGGAAATTCGTTGGAGGCTGAGTTTGAAACCTACTTTACCTAATTGCAGTGAACTGAGCCGCAGAAATGTCTGACTAACAAGTAGTTGTGTGACTTAAAATACGGCTGCAGTTCATATATGATCTGAAATCGATGGTGCTACTATGCTGTGAATTCCTGTAAGACAGCAGGAAAATGGAAATGCTCAAATTAGTAAGGTGTGGCCACTGCCCTTACCACATCTGCAAGTCAGTCATCATTTAAAATGTTTATATGGTGACGAAGATTGCAGTCATGGATTTAACTTGACACTAGGAGGAACACTATGGGGTGAAGAGCAAGACTGGGCCAGGGGACCTGCATTAACACAGCGCGAGCCTATCTGAGTTCTGTGGATTCTGGGGCATCCCTTCGATGGGACTGTGCTCTTATAAAATTCTGCTTCTGTTATGCGCATGCTAAACATAGGCATTGGGTATCACTTTCATGATTGATGGCATAGAAAGCTCTACAAGTCTTTGGGTTTTTGAGTTTAAAAATGTAATTTCTGTCATTATGAAGAATAAACATTTAAATTACTAGTTACCTGATCATTTGAAATAAGCTCCAGAAGGTTGCAGGAATGGTGTTTGCTTGAGATGCCCAGAGAATAGCGAGGTGAGTCTTGGCCTTCTCCATGTCATCAAAGGTGGAGAGCGTGTCGTTGAGAAACATTCGTAAACGGATCAGTTCAGAGACCCTATCTCTCACACACAGGTTCTCATGCTTCAAGCTCTCAGCCAGCTTTTCCCGGGCTTTATGTGCAGTCTTGAACAAGTGAATAGGGAGGCCTGCCACCAGCGCCGGAAAGACTTGGTCAAATTGTTTGAAGTTGTCAAGGTTGTTGAGAATAAACGCTCTTTGTGTGTCTGTCTTTGAAAGATCTCTACCAAACAGTGTTAGATAGCCAGCTTCAAACATCACTCGGTAGCAGAAGGCATACATCCCTTCAGTGACCCAGGCAGTGCTCTTTGACTTAGGAAGGCTAGGAGATCTCATGACAGACTGGAGGTTTTGCATCATGGCTTCAGAGAGTGAACACAGAGCATCTCCCTGGAGGGTTTTGGTAAAAGTGTTGTTTATGTTTTCCGTGGTATTTCCATCATTTGGGTCAATGCTTCTGTGTCCAAATGCCTGGCAGAAAATAAAAATCCATGAAATGGGGAGGGGCTAAACCCAAGCTAGCTAGTGTTATGGAGTGGCTGGAAGATAGATTAAATACATTCGTACTTCTCTGTCTGGCCTTCCCTAATATGATTTCGCAGTACATTCCAACGGTAGAACCAAGACATACTCTTCCCTTGGAGTCATGTTTAAATCTCAGCTTTAGAGCAGAACTTCTCTGGACTGCCTATCACCTTGTGGTGTTGTACTAATCTGCCTTTATATTCTTTAAAGAGTCATTTTAACCAGACTTCAATCTACTTAGCAATAGAAACTATAATATTTTCTCAAAAAAATCATTAAATGTTGCTTTTTCTAGAACAGATCTTGATGTACATAGATTGAAGATTAAGTTTGCCAACACTCTGCTTGGAGTCGTTCCATAAAAGTAGGCTGTATATTTAAACATAATTTGGAGTGTTGTGTGGGCACCACTGATGTTATGAATCTGTACCTTCCTGATTCGTACAGTGTCCTCTGTCTCAGTAATCATTCATGACAAATTTACATCTATCTTGAATTTTTAATATTTACTACTAAGAGACTTTTTGATTTTATGTTACCTCTACTCTGCAACCTAATACAACTGGAACAACTAAATATGCTCATACATTAACAGACCAGGAAACAGACAGAGTCTGTTTAACTAATTACCTTTGCAGAAGTAGTGTAATGAAATTTTTTCCAGTCAAAATATTTTCCATGGCATAAGACTTTATGGTATGACAGGGAGTTTGTGATGAAGTGAACATATTTCCCCATTAGTCTGCAGGTAAAAACGTGACCATGCTTCCTTTGATTTGCTCTTAAGAACTCAAGAGGATTGGACCCAAATTTCAGAGCACAGCCCAGGTACGGAATCAAGCCGTTCTCCAAAGGAGGCTCGCCTACTTTCCTGTAAGACATAGATTTGGGAGGTTGGGAAAATTACATGTTTAGTGTTTTCTGCTATTTATTTCAAGCTTCATAGCTACAGTTTGTAGATACTTCTTTTGATGATGAGGACACCTCTCTTTTACTAAAACAGTGGCTTTTTTAGTCTACTAAGATATTGGTGAAGGTGATTACTAAATCTACCCACTCACCAATTCATCTAGCAACCTAGCAATCAGTCTACCTACCACCATATATACATACATTTATCAAGAACTCATTAAATTGTTTTCTATACCTATACCTGATTGCTTTTCCCAATGACAGAGCTTAAAGTGTTAACATAGCCAACAAGATTCTTGTAGAAATGAAACTATCACCTAATGATTATACTTGTTCTAAGAATCATTTCCCCAAATGCCTAAAATGTTTCATTTGCTCCTTTTCCTTTAAGGATATAAAATATCCTTAAACTAACAAAAAGGGCTACAGGACTACAGTTTTAACAATCTAAAATTTAAAATCCTGGCATCCTGAAGTCTGGGTGTGTGGCTCAATGGCGGAGTTCTTGCTAGCATGTATAAAACCCTCCATTTGATTCTCAAGTCTGGAAGAAAGAACATTAGTATTCTGCAATGATATTTGAAGAGAACAGGAATCTCATTTGAAAAATTAGGTCATTATAAAGTGAAACTGGATCAGGTAAACATTGGCAGATCAGGAACTGTAATCCAATAATCTTTTACTCTCTCTTAAATGTTTCATTTAAATTATAAGCTTATTTATTTCCCAACATAAACTATTTCATCTCTTGTAAGAATAATTGAGTATAATTGATATTGCCTTTCTTAGCATTAAGATAAGCTGTTTAATTAAAACTGGAAACTATCAGGTATGAATTATAATAACTCAAGGTGCAAAGAAAAAATTTTAAAGTAACACAACACACAGTGGTTTACCTCTCTGAAGATAATGCCAGGGGCATTCTCCTATTTTGGTGCTAACATAACAGAAAATATCTAAATAGCCTGCCCCCAAATGTCCTGTATCAAATTGGTGTCATGTGCAAGCACCAAAGCTTCCCAGTCACACAGCTGATTAACACTAGAAAAAAAAAGTTAGAGGCAGAAAAACTTAGGCTCTGTGCTTGCACCCAGGCTTAGACTGAGCCTGCAGAAAACCCAAATGAATGCATGCTTAGGTAGAGCATCTACCTTTCAAATATTACTCTTCCCAGTTTAGGTGTGTTCTACACACACATACACAAACTTGCATCAAAAATTGTAATATTTTAGTTATATTAAACAAGATTTGCATTACCAGTGGTGTATGTGAATATTCCAAGGGAAACTATCTATATCTTGTTAGATTTTGTCAGAGAAGTATGTCTTTTAAATTTAAGTAAAAATACTAATGTATTAGCATTTTTTACACAATGTAATAGTGAAGGTGATGAATTCTAGAAATAATCTAAAAGACAAATTTTTAAAAAAATCTTTCCATACCTTCTCCTTATTCCAGTGATAAACCATACACAACAGCTCACTACCACAGCAATCCCCCAGATCAAAGAAATTGTCATCATTTTGCAAAAGCAGGCAAATGTCCCAAGGGGAGAATCTGTGCTTAGCAAAGCAAGGCCGTCCCAAAACGGTAAGCTCTAACTAGACTTTATATATGCATAGGACCATGATTCAATAACTTGAACTTGGGTGACCAAAGCAAACACTAACTATTTGTCCTCCTGTTAGAAAAAAGAAAAAAATAGCATTACCCGGCCTTGAACTAAGTCCATAGTCTCAGAAGAGGCTCCAGAACAAGCAGAGAGCTGCAATACTTGATAAGCCCAAGGTCAGTCCCTCGTGTGCTGACATAACATTCAAGGCTGGGGACCGCCGCTAGCATTGTGTTTCTGTGTGTACAAAAAGAAGTAAACATACTACAAATGAGCTCATCTATCAAACATGTGGAGTGTGATGTAAAGCAAAACAGGCAGAAGCTTTCCATCACAATACTGGCTGCTCATGTTCTTAACATTTGGGGAAAAATTTTAAAATAAATTTCCAGAAGTATACAACAACCAGTCCAAAAGGATATCAATGTGTAGAACAGTTTTCTTGCATGATTGCTCAGTGTGTTTACAAAACCAGGGGTATTCCATGTGGTCTATGACTGGTTATCTATCTACCATCATCAAAATAGAAAACCTCCAAGGACTCATTTTCCAGGCAGCCACAGCTTCAGAATTTACTCCTTACCAACTGTTATTTGTAATTAAGATGTATTTTATTTCAAATAAAGACTACAACACTTCTTGTCTGAAAAGTAAGTATGAATTCATAATTTATTGCTTATACCACTCATAAAGTGGTGTACATCCTTCCCAACTTTATTCAGCATAATCTTTCATTCTGTACTAGAAGTTGAAGCCATGGCCCCATTCCCTCCTAGGTAAGCACATGGCCCCATTCCCTCCTAG